TAGGACCCAATGAGTTCTACTTTGTCACGTTGTTTTCCTTGGTTCATCCCCAATATACATGAATTTTTCCAACCAAAAGACACGTAAACTCTCTCATATATAAAATATTATATACATGCACGTTACAGTTCATTTCTGTCTAGTTAAGTAAACCTATAAGCGACATTCTCGATTTTTTCTCTCCCAAAATACAACCCCCAAGAAGTTCCAATTTACCACCTTTGTTCTTCAATACATCCACATCACGCCTGAATTTTCCCAGCCCAAAACCACGAAATCCTCTCCACAAATAAATTGTTGTGTTCATCCCCTAAAAGCATGAAAACGTCGTCGGAAAAAGGAGCCAGGATCGATCCTCGGCGTTCGAAAAGAATTCCAGGACCGAATCGAAGCTCCTCCAGCCCTCCCGACCCTCCTCGCTGGAGCGCGAGGGGGTGGAAAACGACGGAAATAAAATCTCCTGGCAGTAACACTAAACCGCAGGAGCCCCGGTGATAAAGCGCGCGCTGTTAATCCGTTGCGCCAATCGCTGCGACGTCCTTTGGCCGTCGGTACCCTGGCTCCGCGACGATTGGACGAAATCCCCGCCCATGGGTTGCATCGATCATCCCCCAAGCGGCTGGCTCGGGCTGGCTATATAAACGCGATTCCCCAGGGACAGGGCCGATAGTCGGAGTCCTTGCTGTCCCGTGGATCCCGTCGTTGGAGGCTCCTGGAATTTCAGAAGTCAAGGTCAGATTGGAAGACCGAAGACAGTTTGGAGACCGCTGAGTGAATCGAAGAAGGTCGAGAGGAGGACCAAGAGGATTTTCTGGTTGGCTTTGGAAGGAGTCCCTGGAAGAGTTCAAGGATAGTTTTAAGCATAAGTGAAGTGATTGATGAGCTGGTGAGGAGAAGGAGGAGCTATGGCGACTCATTCTGCATACGATTATGAGGACAGGGGCCAGAGGATGCGACACAGGGTGGGCACCACGTCCAGGGCTGCTGACTCCACCGTAGCCTGCACCAGGTATAAATAATTTAACAATAAACATGGGCAAGCATATGGGCTCAGAGATATGTTTGTATTTGTTGAATCAATTTTTAAAAAATATCAGCTTGTAGGGGATGATGAGACGAAACTTTTTTATATTTGCAGTTTACTCGTAGGATGGATAGTTTCGGAAATAAAAATTGAAAAGTTAGAAGTT